ACTGTCGCAGTTGTCGGTCATTGGATGGGTGACCAAAAATCTTCTATCTCGAGTTGCTCGCATTGAGAGGAATGGCGACTATATCGAAAAATAGCCTACGTATGTATTACGGCAACCACGTCATATTTTTGTATCATTAAAAAAATTGTAGCCTACAAAAATTCAGCACACTTACTTTCTGGATAAGCCTCGTAATTATGTTCTACTAATGAGAGAATTGAAATATCCTAGGTTCCTAAGTAATAACTAGTAATTAGATGATTGTCATTTTAAAATTGAAAGTAGTGAACTGCGAACGAACATCTACTTAAGTTGGTGACCTCGACATAGCTATTAATGTCACGCTTTGCATCTCTATGAAACGATAATTTCATAGTTATGATCTTCTAAAAATGTCTGTATATTTTATTGGTCGCAGACATGTTTTGGATGTTAAAGAAACAACTCCTTTAAATAATAATTTATGTTAGTTATTAAAAACCATTAAAAACGCTGTTTGCCAGCATGGCATGACAGTATTTATCAGTGAGATTGTGAGTAGAAGATTTGAAACAAATTTATAATTAATTTTTAGTTAAAAAAAAACTAGTAAAACACGCTTTTATAAATACACGGAGAAACCAAAAATAAATTATGGACCGTTCAAGTTGTCTCCCTTTCTGGGCTGAAGTGTAAACTATTTGCTTTGAATTATAATATTTGACTGTAAAAGCGTGAGGTGCTGGAACAGGAAAGACTTTTTATATAACTTGCTGAGAAATCAAGTTTAGCGATGTTACGGGAAGCAGGTTAGACAGATTGGCACTCCAGTAACTGGAGTTGCAGCACGACTAATATTCCCTTAGATTTTCTATTCGTTATAATGATGAATAGCGCGTTATTAATATCTTGATTTTTCAGCAAATTATACAAAAGTCTTTTCTGTTCGAGCACTCCACGCTTTTGTAATCAAATATTATAATTAAGAACACGTAGTCTACACTTCAGCCCAGAAATAGAGATAACTTGGACGATCCATAATTTATTTTTTGGTTTTCACGTGCATTTATAAAAGCGTATTTATATAGTTTTTTTAAACTATTAATTTATTTTATACTTTTTAGTCTTTGATAACGAAATATTTTTTATTTTATTTTTTTATAGATAGGTCCGACAAATGACTCCACCCCACCTGATGTTAAGTGAAGGTGAAGTCCAGATGTGAAGATAGCTGATACAGCAGTTCTACCTGCCACACCAGCCATCCTCACCCTGCCGGCCTGCATGTTGATTCTTCACGCCTCTTTTAAAGAATCCCATGTTGTAAGAGAAAGGGAACACGTGAGCGGGCAGAGCATTCCATTTACGGATAGTGCGACCAAGAAATGAGTCACCAAATTTCTTTGTACGCGTTAATTTATACATTTATTTTAAGTAGGTGAATGATCCCGCACCCTCTCCATCGCCGCCAGTGCGTCTGTATTGCATGGTGTTTTATCTGTCAGCTTAGAACAATCTAGCTTTTCAATCTGGAGACCACTTAGTGTTGCTGCACACGGGCCACCGACCACAACCATAAAATGCCGCGACCGGCATATTTCTTGTAGTTTTCATACATTTTATATGGACTCGGCACACACGGTACGCCGGTGGCCACCACACGCTACAAATCGTCGTTGCTCGCTTCTTGTGGCCCGCACCGGCCACTTAATGCGCCGATACAAAACGCCGCCACACGTCACTCGCGTGATTCACCACCTTTGTCTCCCTTACCTTAGTCGGCCGCTGACGCGCGCTTCAGCCACTTTAGTAGCCGCTTTTTACTTCTCGTGGCAGCGTTTGTGGCTGTGGCGTGTGGCCCGTGTGCGGCGACACTTAGTGATTTTACTCTACTTAGGGCCACATACGCCTGTCCAGCCGCAAAAATACGGGACCCTAAGTACACCACTGCGTGGTCTACCATATAGCCTTGCATCTTGTGCACGATAGATGCCCAACTTAAAATCACTGGGAGCATACGTCTTTCCACCGTACCGTAGCTATACTTGGTCGGGAACTAGATGCCGAAAGGCTGAATTAAGTGCTCACCGTCGTTTCCGAAATTAATTTTGATGGACGGTATGTCGGTTTCATACATTTGGTCGCGTCTAAAGTGGGGTAAGACGATGTCCCAGCTTAATCCGATACTCCCATTTACTAGCCAGTGCCTATCTTCCGGCTTCATCATCGGACCCGGAAACCTAATCGTGGTCAAAGTTCATTAGAAGACTCTTCTAAGAATTCCAAAAACAGCTAAGATACGATGTTCCATCATGTAGTTCCAGTTCATATCTTCCGGCTCCATTATCAGATCAGTTCGATAGTACCATATTACCAGAACTACATACAGCTGTCAATTTTCATTACGGTACGATCCTTGAAAGATGGTTAAATTAGTTACTTTAGATTCCATTACATAGTTACATACAGGTCGGCCTAATAAAAGCGCGTTAAAAAGGATTATTTCATTTATTTACTATTATATCACAAAATTCTCAAATATTAACAACTACAGTACTCAAGCCCCTCTTTCCCAGTGGGCACTTTGGGCAAGTGCCCAGGGCCCCGCGATCGATAGGGGCCCCCCTCAGATCAAATACAAAGTCCCTAGTTGCTTTCAGATCACCAAACGATAACCAATATTTAAACTTATATAACTAGATGAAATCGAACCTAAATTACTGTCTACAATACCAACTTACTAGCTTTTACATAAGCGAAGCTATTCTACTCTCGCACAAAAATTAGGCTTTCCGACTTCAGCATGCTAAGATCAATTTAAATATACTTACATATTATGGTATACTAAGCACATACAAATTTTAAAGAAAAATCATTAGTAGTACACTCATCAGTATGACTCGCTCAATTTCAAGTCATAATCCATATCAAAGTCATATGGGGCCCAATTATCCTAATATGCTCACGGCCTCCAATAGGTAGACGGCCATGACAGTACTTATAGTAAACTATTCCGACTTCGATTAAACCAGACAAATATGGCATTTAAAGTCTGTTCCAAATGAATTTAGACTAAAAGTAAACAAAGAGGTAGGTAAGTCTGACTATAGACAGCTTAGTGATGGAGATTCATAGAGCACTATCAAAATCAATTGATCAATTGAATGATCATATTCTTAGAAACTGTTAAAGATCTATAAGGCTTAATTTGTAGCATATTTTATTGAAAGTCTTTGCGTGGGATATAGGAGGTAAAGTGTTTGTTTACTTTAGGTCTAAATTCATTTGGAACAGACTATACCTCAGACTACTTGCTTGAGTTATTGACATTTATATACAACACTAACTAAACACTGCCGGTTTAGTCTAGTAACAAACAAGTTAGACACGGTTCCAAACCTTGTTTACGCAAATTTTGTATGACATTTTTTCTAAAAGTTATGTTGAACGAATGTCAAACTATTTTGTAGTAATAAGGTTTTAAATTTCAATACATGTCAACAGCCACGGTAGAACTTTTGGTACCTACATTAAAATGGTGTCTCAAGGTTAGATTCTATAGTTTTGTTTTTCTATTTTAACCTTCTAATGTAGGTAAATATCACCGATAGAAGCAATTGATGATTTTTTTGCCAATGTATTTATAATTTCCTGTTATTTTGTCATATTTTATTTTTGAGCATCAATAGCCAGATAATTAAATCTATTGAAAATTGCACATTGGGTGTATACAAATGTGCAATTTTCAATAGATTTAATTATCTTACATACACCGAACACACACACACATAGACGCTAGCGGACTAAGCAACAAAAATTGAGCAAAAATTTTCTGTTTTCGGTTGCTTCATATTCCCAGCGGCTTCGGTATAATAATTGTTTTCATCAGATGTTGACATTACCTACCTCAGAAAAATGAACTAAAGATTGGTCTTGTACTTATTTTAGCTATACCTATTAGAGTTAATAACATGTATGTTGCGTGACCTATATTAGACGCTGCCCCATTTATTTTGACTAGAGACAATGTTCCCTTAATAAATAAAGGGGAAATGCTTATTTCAGCTCGAACAGAGGCTTCGCTGGGCATAACGCCAAAGCCGCGATCACTATTAGCCAAAAACCACTGACGCCTACCCCAAGTAAATCAACAAATCTTTCACATATTAAGTATTTTGTTAAGAAGCCTATTAATAACTTAAGCAGTTTTTCTAGTTCAATAGAAACATTCTTTAGGTATAAAGACTAGCTTTATTAAAAAAAAACGTACATAAAAATATAAAATATTCTTACACTTAAGCGAAGGCTACACAATGATTGGCCACGCTTGGTGCTTAGAGCCGAGCTACCCTATTAGTAACAAATGCCTTGTTCACATTATTCCAGTTCTGTAATCCAGCAAATCAATCCATATCAGGAGGACTACTCATTTCGACGAAAAACGTAATTTCGATCGAAATTTCGCACGTTTCTTACTCTATTTCTTTTTCATTTCGAAAATTCGTTCGTCCGAAAATAGTTGGGCAGTTAAATTCTTCAAGCCTACTCTAATTCACAATACTTTCGATCGAAAAGTTGAATTTGACATAATAATTGTTCGAAATTTTAACCTCAATTTGAAGAAATGAAAAGTATTACCTTTTCTTTTTCGTTTTGGGATTTTTATTTGAATTAAGTCTAAAATGCTTGATAGAGTATTTTTCATCCAGGCTGCTTAGCTTGAGGAACATTTTATAGCATGTAAAATTAACAAAGAAATGTAATTTTTATTATTTATTGTATTTCCAATACTTCAAAGTATTAAACGAAAAATTAAGGTTGACATACAATCGATTGTATCAACTCTACAAATAAGTCGGCTAACACTGTCAAAAAAGGTTCTTTCAATGTCATCAAAAATTTTGTCATAAAGTAACATTGTTTCCAAGTAAAAAAGTTATTAAAAAAGTAAACATAAAAAGAACTCACAAACATGACTCATTCCATTCGTTCACGAAAATTGTTTGTGATTCCGAACTTTATGTGCGTGTTTGAAAATAAAATAGAGTAGTCTCTGGCGAAATTTCGTGCGAATTTCGTTTCGGAGAAAGAGAGTAGAGCTCCTGAACTGGATTATATCATACACATTATTCTGGTCTTTTAAAAATTTATGAAATGGTAAGACTATACTGAGTGTGGTTACAAAACAGCAGTTCGAAAATGTTCACTGCTAAACTATTGCAATGGCGCTGGAATTAAGCTGATTTAAAAAGTAGATCGAATCTAGTCACTAGACTGGATTACCCACTGGGATGGGAACATGCCTGTGTCGGTAAACATTATTCCAGTAGCGTTTCAGCGCTGGATTCAATCACTGGACTGGAATGCCACTGGAATATTGTGAACCGGCCTTTACTATAATGATCAGAATCTTGACGCATTCAAGAAAATTATCTATACCCTAATTGGTTTCTAAGCGAGGCTCTTTGCAGCCTTAATGGTTGTGATAAAGTCAGTCGTTACTCGAGTTGTTCACTGTCTTTCAATAAATATCAAAGGTAGTCCATCAATGTTTTGCACGAGATCCGAAGTCGGCACAACTGGTGGTTTTCTGATGGACTGAGGTGCTGGTTTGACGGTAAACTTCGACAACAGGGCGGCTAAGCCGGCCAAGGACTGCATGAGACCAAGACGCGCACCTGAAATTAAAATATTTAATATTAAATTCTTCACTTATAAGTATTTTAAGCAAGGAGATTCTAAACACAGTGGCAAGCGCAACTTTCACAAAAGCCGGTCATAGGATGTCATCATCATCCAAGCCTATTAATGACCCCAGTGCTGGGGCACAGGCCTTCCTTATGGATGGAATAGTAGTATTGGGCCTTGACCTATCACGCGGGCCTAGTGCGGATTGGTGGGTGCTAAAGATTGCAGATGCAGCCGGGACCAAAGGCTTAATGAGCCTTCCGAAGCACGGGGAAGCTAGAGATAATAAGATTTTAGTCACCCATCCAATGACCAACTATTGCAAAAGTTGCTTAACTTCCACGATTGCAGGCCGAAAGCGCTGACTCCCTGCGAAATCGAGCTCCTATTCACAGGATATGTGACTAAAAATACTATCTAGAGCTCTACCATGCTTCGAAAAAGCACGTTAAGCCGTTTTGCTGTCTAAATCTTCAGTCATTAACAACCAATCCATACTGGGCCCACGTGGTGTATCATAGCACTTCTATTCCATCCGTAGGGTAGGCTTGTGCCCCCGCAGTACGGATAATGCACCTATTTCTAGACTATTTTCTACAGAGTTTTAAAAAATATCAATAGTTGGAAATTCAATCGGTTTAAATTGTAAGTTTGTAAATATTGCTTGAATTTTTTCCACTACTGAGTATTCAGAATTTCAGACAGAGATAAAACAAAATAAAGTTATAGTTAACGGTACACAGTTCTATATTAAAATAACCAATTTCTATTTTATTAATTCCTTACACTTGTTCACGTATACGAACTGGCAAAATATCCCTCTGATAGGACAAAGTTCAATCATTCTTATATGTGTTTAATTTAAAGAATAAACTTTTTACTATAAGGTAATATGAAAGTCGATAGGATGACACACAATCAATATTATGTATGTATTTAAAGAATTGAAGTGAGTATGATAATAGATACCCCACTATTTGCGCTTGATTAGTGTCTTATCGTTTCTTATTTTTTTAAGTAATTGGTGATTATAATTTTTTATCATAAGTACAGTACAGGTTAAATTTCAACTTATCTAAATATATTTATGTATCGGAAAATCTTATAAACTCACCAATACAAACACGAGGACCATCACCGAATGCTTGGTACACATCTTTTTGAACACTCGTGAATTCTTCTGGACCAAATCTTTCTGGACGGAATTCTTCTGGGTTGTGCCAATATTTGGGATCATTATGTAATCCTGCCACAGATATCATGATTTTGACACCTTCATCAACACTGAAGTTCAAATCTTCAAATGTGTATTTACGAGTACATTCTCTCATCAAATAACCAAGTGAAGGAAACTTTCGCATCCCCTCTTTAAATGTCCATTCCAAATATGTCATCTCTTTTACGGCGTCGTAACTTAGTTTATTGTCATGCCTTCGCAGAACCTCGTCTACTTCATTTTGCACTTTCTTTTGGATCTCTGGGTTGTATGCCAGTTCATGGAGGGTGTAACTAGTAGCAGATGACGACGTTTCGAAGCCCGCACCAAAGAACACCATAACTTGAGCCACAATCAATTCGTTAGTTAGTTCAAATGACAATCTTTCAGCCTTGCCATTAGATTGAACTTTCTCAATTGATTCGATTTCGATGGGACCTCTTTGTTTATACTCTAACATCTGGTCGATGAAATCATTTCGCCCTATCGGCTTATAATTCCTGCTAGCTTGAATCTTATTAACAAGATCGAAACTGCGTTTTTCAACGTGCCCGAAGAATTGTAAGTCCTTACAAATCGTAGGAAATAGCATTTTCAAGATTCCACGAATTACTGTTGTCAGGGGAGGATTGAAGGCATCCCTGCCTAGTCTCCTAAATTCACTGTCGTCATCGTTAATGGAATCACTATCAAGTCCAAAACCACAAGAACCTATGAAATCAGTCGTGAACCGAGCCATTAAATCACGCGCATCTATAGGGATGTTTTTTTTAGCCAAATTCAATGCTCTCTGTTGAAGATTTTCAGCTCGTTCGACAATAAGTGGAAACATAGCTTTAAGTTTGCCACTAGTGAAGGCGGGTGTCATTCTTAGCCTCAACATTTTCCATAAATCCCCCTCAGCGAAGAACAAATTTTTCATCAAGGGTTCAACTTTTTGCTTGTACGGATGGAATCCACGTGCGTAGAAACTAGTAAAATCAGAAATCAGAATCTTCTTCATTATTTCTGGGTCTCTTATTAACAATTCCGGCATCGAAGACCTGTAGAATCCAACGACTTTCTCGTTGGGGTATTTGAAGTACAGCTCTTCAGCCAATTCGCTTCGGCTCTTCTTCATAAGAATATTCCTAGCATTAGTTCCGAATAGAAACACTGGCTTGTCATGCTTGATTCCTCTTTTCTTCCAATAATCGAAATTCCTCACATTGTAAATATAAAAAGTGACCGCAAGTATCACTACGACCGCGATAGTTATCATGTTTACGCGCGTTGTACACACTGCGCCTCCAAGCGTCGAACTGACCTTAAACAAAAATAACACTGGCTCTTTATAATGTAAATGAGATTGTTTACAAAGCAATTACTGTTGAACTGACAGCCGTTACGTTTATCAATAATTTTATCTAGTGTATTGATATATTTAAGTTACTCTTTTTTCTAAAGATTGGAAATCAGAAATAAAATGTAATAATCATTGCATACAATTTTATTATTGTTTAGTAATTATCCCATTATTACGAAAGAATTTTAAGTATATACACAAAGATGACTAATTAACTCATAGATATAAAAGATATGGCTAAGAAACTGCCCGTAACGTGTATAATTATTTCGCTAAAGCCCATAATATTATAATGTTTGTTTAATAATTATTACGGGTCTATTATTTTCTTTTGCGAAACTTTCGTAAAATAATCAAATATTTTAAATTATAAAATTTCTGTATCATAAGGAAAATGTTCCGTTTTACAAAAATAAATGGACAATAAATCAACACAAAAAATATTTATGTAAGTTTACCGAAATAAATAATGTTAATTCCAACTATAACTACAAAACAAAACAACAAATGTTTTATAAATACTTTTTGTAAAGTGTTTATCAGAGAAATGTGAAGAAAAGTTCTAAGAAAATACGAAATTAATGGCTCTGTGGTAATTTTCGACCGTTTAAACGTTGGTCTATGTCGCCATACAGCCAGTGTCTATGGACTCGTAGGCACTGGCACATTAGGAAATAAGTAATTAATTGCTTTATAATTATGTTCTTTTTATATTTTCGGTTTGATTTATAGTTGTCATTATAAAATAGACTTCAAGAGGAAATTTCGTCGATATATATTGTATTTTAATAAAGTTATGAATATTTTTGAATGTAGTGCTGACATAAGTTGACCAAGTATTGCCGTACTATTATTCCGTAAGTGGGGAACAGCGGTTAAACATCCCCAAAGCTCTTCAGATAATTGGCAACATCTTTTATCAAATATAGCAAGGTAATGACGTAGTTGGAGGGGAGGTTACATAATTTTCAAGATTGTAACGTTATCAAAAGTTCCTGAGCCTTTTTTAAAGAAATCATAAGTATTCAGCCGTTCATCATTAATAATAATAATAATAATTATTGGAGTTTACTCCTTAAGAATCGATTTGCATATATAAGGGGCCCGGTATGAGAAAAATGTGAGGAGTAAAATCTATCGATGAATGACCTCGTTACGTTTTTGGTGCGCATCCTATGTCGCGCAACTTTGACAAACAAAGATGACGGATTGACATAAATATTTTTTTTGAAATCTGAACTGAATTTAGATATTGTTTCTGATAGAGCAATGGGGAAAACGAGGTATGGTACAACCATTGATGCGGTATTTTCAAGATTCGTGAACGACGTATCTACGAACGTCCATGTGTCTTATTTTAGTTACCATAAACCACTTGTCACTGTAATTAATTATGCAGACAATGTTGATTTAATTAATATTTAAAAAAATGATAATAGTCTAATAATAATAATTACATAATTTATCAACATTCCTAATGATATATTTATGCTCATCTGAAATTGACTATTGTAAAAAGTTTAATGTAAAATATTTCGTCGATTAGTTATAATAAATGTATATGAAATGAATAAATATATATTTATATATGTATATTATTTTCATCAATTTGTTATTTTACCCTTTCATACAGTATCAATCTTTTTTAAGTTAAATAAACTCTTTTTGCGTCTGGTTAGACTATCGAACTTAAGGAGTAAACTCCAGTCGTGCGTCGGAGCTGACACACACATTTTTTTATTTATTTATTTCTCTCGACAAACATCAAACGGATCATAGTAAACAAACTCGTAGGTTATTAATATACATTATTAATATACATACATTAACGTGTCTGTGGGAGACTGGAGTCTAAACTAGGCAGTAGTCTACCTGTATTTTAGAGATCCAGTTCAACCCTCGAAAAAATTTCTAACACTCCATAAAGACCTAATAGGTATATGTATTTAAGTATTTATGGTATAAACAAATTTAAAATAGAAATCATAAAACTGTGCATGTGTGTGTGTGATAGTGTGTTTATGTTTGTGTGTGTATGTATGTTTGAGTGTGTGTGTTTGTATGTTAAATTTTTAACTTACAAAAAGTTTTTCAAGGACATCGCTACTGATGCAATATTTATACAATGCTAGGGAAGTTGCACATACAAAATTTTAGCATGTCCTTTGTGTCGTGTTTGTAGTATTCACAAAAGAAGATAACTTATGGTGGCACTGAATGTACTTTTGTAACAGTATATTAATTAGTGTTTGTTTTTTTTCTTTTTTTATGTTATGTTTTGTCCAATCTTAATTTTATTATATTATTTATGTTAGTGAATTACTATATGATTTTTATACAATTTATAAAATTAAATTAAATGTAATAATTACTGACATATAATAACGCCGTTAGTATCTAATGTGTACGTAATGAGTTTCTGTAATGGGCCTTAAGATTGTATCTATATTTTATTGTATTAAATTTCACAAAAACCGCTGTAGAATCTTTGTTAAAGATAAATAAATAAATGTCTTTGTTCGTAACATTGCTCGAGTGCAAATTTAAGTAAAATTGCGACATTTAAAATATTCAATATTTTAATCACATCAAACAGATTAAAAAGTCAATCATGTTAAAAACTTACCTTATATCAAAGAGTCCCAAAATATCCTTTCACAATGGGTAATATTAATAAAATCAGAAAAACAAAATTCGTATTCTAGACGTGTGATGCCACCGGTATGTCAACAAATAATACTGAGGTGTATCCTCCAGCGCTTGCCTCACTAACGCCAATTTATAAATGCACCCATGAGTTTGTAGTATAAATAAAATACCGGTTGTCGAATCTTCAAGTTAACCAGTTAAATGCGGTTCTATTTAAAGAACGCTCTCTATTTCACACAATAGCGACAGAGCGATAAGGATAAGAGATCTCCAAGAACGCGAAGTCCATAGGTCAACCTTATATCGCAGAACTTTTTATCTCATAATGTAATAATGCATATCAGTGGATGCAATAAACTGCATCACTCAGAAAATCTATTGGCATTCACTTATTTATAATTATGAAAGCCAAAACTCATCTTTAGTCATAAATATAATATCCATGTCTGTGAGACTGACTGACTGATCTGCGCAAGACTGTGCAGAGACTAATCCTCAAATTCTTCGGGCATATTACTCGCAATGAGAACTCCATGGAACGGTTGGTGGTGCAAAGGAAAGTTGAGGGCAAAAGGTCTCGCGGGCGCTCTATAACACACTGTTCCCAACTTAGGGGTTTTGCCCCCAGATTTAGGGGCTAGAAGGGTTAAAAACGGACTTTTTTAGGGGCTGGATTTTTTTGGGGGTTCTTTTACGGGCTTTTAACAAAACTTGCAATTAAATCGAAAAACAAAGCGTGTGTTTTCTTTCAATTTTGTGCGTAGAATGGAACGCACCACGATATGAAACGACTGAATTCACTATGTGGTAGGTTGTTTTCTAAGGCTGTATGGACTAAAATTCTTTGCCTTCCACCAATCAAAACAGCTAAATAAGATTTAAAACAGCCTGTCAGCTCATTTTCGTTTGATTTTCCATTCGGAAAATGTATTTATTCAATAAAATAATTTACTGTAATTAAATATGTAACGTTTTAATTTAAGAGCAACCAAAGAATTTAGGTAATAAGTTAAGTAGGTACATATAAATTTCTATATTTACGGGATTTTAGGGGAATTTAAAAAATACTTAGGGTAAAATTTTGGTAAGGGTTGGTAACACTGCTACAACAAGGTGGACAGACCTTATTAAATCGGCGACGCACTGTAGCGTAAATGATTGTTCTCGCTCTGCAAAACTGTGATTGTTCTCGCACTGATTGCATCAGTGGCACAGGAATAGACCGAGACATGACCACGACCACTCTGTCAAGGGTGCACGACTAGGAACTGATAATATCCATAATAATTAAAAAGTAATCCACCACATCCCAGAAAGTTCACGGGTTTTATAGCATACAAATATTTAACATTTCCTTGTGTTATTTATCGATAATATCAGGAGGCTGGTGTTTCGCCGGTTCTCGCTAATTTCAAATCACAACACTCGCTTAACTTAAGTGTCGCCGCACACGGGTCACACGCCACAGCCACAAACGCCGCCACAAGAAGCTAGAAGCGGCTACTAAAGTGGCTGAAGCGCGCGACAGCGGCCGACTAAGGCAAGGGAGAGAAGGGTGGTAAATAGCGCGAGTGACGTGAGGCGGCGTTTTGTATCGGCGCATTAAGTGGCCGGTGCGGGCCACAAGAAGCGAGCAACGACGATTTGTAGGCATTGTCCTAATACAACGCGATAACGCGAATGAGCGATGCGATCATCGTACGAGTCGACGATCAAACATATTGATTTAGAATAGGTGTCCTAATACGCGATCGCGCGATGCATTCGCGCGACTAAAATGTTTAAAAATCTATCGAACGCGCAATCAAACCTATTAATGATGAATAGGTGTCCTAACTTAAGTTCGCGCGATGATCGCGTCGCGTCGATAAGAAGCGGGGAGAGGGGCAGGGCTAACCCATTCCGTATTCGCGTTCTATTAGGACACCCAGTTCGCGATCACGCGATGGTAGCGTCGTTTAAACGCGCGATGATCGCGTTATCGCATTGTATTAGGACAATGCCGTAGCGTGTGGCGGCCACCGGCATACCGTGTGTGGCGAGTCCATATAAAATGTATGAAAACTACAAGAAATATGCTGGTGGCGGCGTTTTGTGGTTGTGGTCGGTGGCCCATGTGCGGTGACACTTACTCACTATGCATACTGTAATTAAACAGAGTTAAATTTTGCCCTAAGGTTTTGCCGAAGGTAAATTAATTAAGCCGCATAAAATTCTGTGATCACTACCCCCAGCACGTACCAATATCGAATTCTAATAGTTTGCGTGTACGAAATGTCATTGTAAAATTTGTATGGAAACTTGAACAGCTGCGCCATAAAGGATGTAACGAGAACTAAAAATCAGTACGCATTTGATAATGACATTTCGTATTCGGAAACGTTTTGAATTCGATATAGGGTTGTGCTAAGGATACAGTACATTATAGTATACGGTGGGTCGCTCGCCATGGTAAAGTATGCCATTGTGAATTTTATTAGGACATGTTAATATTCAACCAAGAAGGGATTATGATTATAAAAAATTATGCCTAAAATTTGATTAATGAACATTATGCCATATATGTTATGCCATATAAATTTCGGAGCAACAAGGCTTTGCCAGATAGAGGGAAGCCGTCAAGATTATTAATATTTCATTTGTATAAATGAAATATGGAGGAGCTCGATGGCACAGGTGCTTAGCGCGTTCGGCTGCGATCGTTGTAGTTAAGCAACTTTCGCAGTGGTCTGTCATTAGATGGGTGACCAAAAATTTTTATCTCGAATTCCTCCGTGCTTCGGAAGGCACGGTAAGCCTTTGGTTTCAGTTGCATTTGCAGTCGTTAGCACCTGCCAATCCGCACTGGACCCGCGTGGTGGGTCATGGCCCAATCTTCCTATTCCATCCATGGGGAAGGCCTGAGCCCCAGCAGTGGGGATTAAGAGGCCTATGATGATGATGATGATGATGAATGAAATATTAATAATTGCTCTATTTTTATGTCTCGCAATCACCTTTGACGCTTTGCCATTCATAAGTGCCACCACCGGCATATTTCTTGTAAATTTCATACATTTTATATAATCACTAGCTGACTCGGCGAACTTCGTACCGCCCAAAAGTAATAATTTGCAATAAATTAAAAATTGCGACTATAATTTGAGATTTAAACTATCCTATCTCTCAGGTTGGATCGAACTGCACATGGTGTGCGAATTTTATTATAATCGGTTCAGTGGTTTAGGAGTCCATTGAGGACAAACATTGTGACACGAGATTTATATATATTAAGATAATCAAAACATTTATTCGACACAGACATGGACTAATGTCTACACTTGTACATACATATATATATATATATGGAGAACATTAAACACTTAATAACTATGTACTTGTATCCACAGCTGAACCGAAAGGGGCCCAGTTCAGCATTGTGTCAATTTTCACTGACGCTGTTTTTCAACTGGGTCCTTTTTCTGACATGTGGATGCCAATCACTATGATACGATTACATAAAAAAAAATAGCTTAATAAACAAACAAAAACAATATGAATTCAAAATATAAACACAAACGGTTACACGCAACATAAACAATGTGTATTAATTAACTAAAAGCTTGGAATAACAGTGAAAAAAAAATAAGGTAATATGTAAGCGTGCAACTTACTCATAAGACTCATCTAATAAGGAAGTCACATTACAAGTACTTATTATAATACAAAACAACACATATAAAAACAAAAATACAAAAAAGAAACAAATCATGAAGCATTAACATTAACGACCCATAATGCAATCAGGACACAGATGAAAGCTCATCACATCCTCAAAATGCCTTACTTGGAAATATCGGCAGCCACAGTAGATTACAATTAGCGCACCATAATAATATAATAATAATTATAATATGAGTGTGTATGTCAATATAGAAGAATATTAAATGAAATGAAAAATCTTTATTGGCCATCTAGTATATAAGAAACAGAGAAAAAAAAAATATAAAAAAGAAACTTAACCTAAGAACAAAAATTAATCACTAGATTTAAAACGGCCAATCAGGACCCTGCCTCAGCTTATGCTGATACAATGAGAAAATATTCTCTCACTGTATCACCGCTGGTATTCTGGCAGGGCCTGTTTGAGGACGTGTTAGGCGCTATAACAAACAAAATAACAGGTATATTTGGTGTCGATTCTGGTGCGACTCTCCGAACCCAAAACCAAATTCAACACCAGTCCCTCCCCTTCATTCTGTATAGAGAATGACAGGAATGCACCGCTGCCAAACCCAAACCTAGCCTTAGAGAATCACGCCAGAATCGACATCATTATAAAAGAAGACTTAATAATAAAAATAAAATAAGACATTTTGAATATAACATTCTAAGTAGGTATTATATTATGATATACTATGTATAATATATTTAGCAAGTTCTCGTAGTTATATGTAAGACATGTCTATATTTATATTGCCAAATTGTTGCTGTGCATTTGTAAGATATTTACAAAGGTGTTTTTTGAATACATAAATGGAAATACTTGCTCTTAAAGGGAGTGGGATGTTGTTCCAAATCTTTGCTGCTGCATAGCGAAAACTGCCTCTGAAAGACGCTGACCCATGAGTCTGAGTAGCAAGCTGTTGGGAGCACTGCCTTCTGCAACTTAGCCAGACAAATCGATTGTATAGATATGCAGGCTCCCTGGACCTAATCACTCCAAACAGTAGCAGTTACAAGCAATTGCGAATATCGAAAAGCTACGCCATCAGTTCGCAAATCGACAGCACGTGAATTAAAATAATAAGCCATAGTCTTAGTCTTAGTAGTACGGCGGGCTGTTTCCACAACTCGACACCCAGTGCCTATTTTGCGTGGGGATTGGCATCAGTCCTGCCATCCCAGCTCCTCCAGAAAGCTCAGCAGTCCCCGAATGTTGCTGCAGGCCTCTACTATTGTCTTCGGGCTTCCCATTAGAGAAGTCCTTTGTCTTGCAACGCCCCTGCACTCCAGTAGGACATGGGTGCTCGTCTCATCCTCCTCCAGGCAGGCTCTGTACAGACGGCTGTCAGAAATACCTATATTACAAAGG